GAAAAGTCCAGAGTGGCGGCGGGAGAAAACCTGCGGCGGCAGCGGCTTTATGCAGTGTGGGGCAGCCTCCGGATGTGGCGCCTCCCCAGCCCGCCTCCTTGCTCTCCGCTCCGCCCGCCCGCTGGACACTACTGGTTCACAGGCCCCTCCCCCGACCCCGCCCCCAAGGGGGAGCCCGCGGACGGCGCGCCGGCCACACCCACTTTGGGGGCAGGATCCTGCGGGAGGAGGGGCTCGGGGAACAGTGCCAAGAGCTGCAGACGATTCCAGACTTCTTCCGGCAGGTGGCTAAGCGTTGACTGTCTTGCCCAGGGCTCCCTACAGCCCCACCTCCCTGCTCAGATTCGAAGGTACCTCCGGATGGTGCAAAAATTTAAAGAGAAATAGGGATGCCCTAGATCTCGTTTGACTCTGGAGGAAATGCACAGATTTAGCTGTGCAGTGCATGGAACACGGCTGCTCATGCCTGAGAAACGCTCTCAGTCCCTCCGAAGCTGGGAGGAGTTTCCTTGACAGCACTCGCCACCTTTACTGGGATGAGAAGATCTAGGCTGCAGGAGCAGGCCCAGAGACCCCTCGGTGCAGGCAGGGCCAAGCACTCCCCAGTGGAGTACATCAGCAATTTCCAGTACTTTCCTGTCCTCCCTTCCCTAGACTCACGGCTTTAATGTTGCTTTCAATGCCGAGGCTTAGGGTCAAACTTGAGGCGTTCCAACTCGCAGAAGATGCGGTGTGGCACGTGTGACGTCTCCAGGACATCTGAGGTGCAAGAAATGAGACACACAGATAACCCTCGCTCTAAGTGCCAGGCACTATTTGAAGAGATTCCAGGAGTCACTCACACAATGCTCCTAGTGCGGTCCTGTGAGATGGGTTCTATCAGCAGCCTCACCCCCAGCGAGTAAGTGACAAGCTGAAGATTGAACTCAGGCAGGATGACCTCAAATCTGCTCGTGACCACTTTGTTGGCTCCTATATTCTACAGTGTCTTTATGAAAGCCGATCTGTTTTTATCTGGTGGTGGTTTTTGTTTGGTTGGGTATGAATGGTGCGGTGGGCAACTGTAGTCCCCCTTCCCTAGAAGGTTCTGGGATTTCAGGTCAAGACAGTAGCAGATGAGATCTTAGGTAACAATGTATGGTGACTGTCAGGATCTTCTTGCTCAGGCCTACATGGTACCCTGAAGGCCAGAAGCTCCCAGTAGCTGACTTATCTCTTGAACTGACTGCCCAGTGGTACCTGGTTGGTACTCCAACCGCCCTGTGCAACTAGTGTGTGTGTTCCACAGGAACCCACACAGCCATTTCTGGACTGCCTGAGATCTTTATCCCTTGCAGAAACTGCCAGCCCACCTCCTCTCCTAATATTCAGGAAATTCAGCTTAGTCTCCTGGGGCCAAACCATTCTCATCCTTTCTTCTTCACCCTTACTTTTATCTATGATAAATTTAGACTACCAGGTCCCACTGCCTCCTTAAACCTAGGCAGGAGAAGATACACCAATACCTCCTAGAGTCACAATTACCCAGACCTTCAAGATACTCATTGTGAGCCAGGCACCTACAGGAGGTGGGACAATTCCCACAACCACAAAAGAAAAATACATCATTAATTTCTCAGTGTCTCACAGAACCACACCAACTGTCTTACCATACAATTTTCCATGCATTCAAGATTTGGCTTTCAATAGTTTAAGGTGGAAATATATCCCTACCCCTAAACTGTAATGGTATAAATCACGCTGTTATTTTATATGCCATTGAGTCTCAAAGTGTGGCTCTCCCTTTGAGGGGATCCACAAGATCAACATCCTTTTTCTATAAACACTGCGACATTACCTGCCATTTGCACTCTCATCTCTCACCGGTATACACTGGAGTTGTCCAGGGGCTGTGCGTTGTGCGATGCTATTCTCTTTGATAGCTAATGGAATGTGTGCCTACATATTTTTTGGTATTAAAGATTTCTGTTTAAATTTCTAATATGGTAAATACTGGTATGATCACATAAACCACAGTTCTTTAGGGTTTTTAACTTTTCTTGTTTTTCCTAGAGGGTGCAATTATTCACAAGAGAGATGGGGGAAAGAGAAAACACCCCCTCTTGGGGAATGGTCATGCCAAAGTCCCTTCTCCATCTCCCCTCCTTTCAGGATTTTAGGCACACATGCATGCACACACTCCCAGTGTGTTTCACCAAGCCACCATTTCTGGAATCTGAGCCACAGGGTCAGCCATGTGGGATTCGGTTGTCTTAACCACCAGCCCATGGATCCAGCCAAGTCCTCAGTAATTTTTAAGAGTGTAAAAGGAGTCCTCAGACCAAAATAGTTGTCAGGTGTTACCAAAAAGGAGGTATTCCCAATTAACTATTTGTAATGTTTTCATCATTTGGAACTTTGAGATACTTACTGAATGAGCACTTTTAGACATAGACATACATTGTTACTGAACATCACTCTTGAGCATATATAAAGGAAAATATTAGCAAAGATAAATTTCTTAGGAACTCCTTATAATTTCTTCACCTTTTTTTTTTAGAGGTTTTTGCTATAGGGCGCGTGCGCTTGCCAGACAGAGAGAGACAGAGAGACAGAAAGTGAGAAATCACCCCCCAGGGGGGATGGCCACGCCACAATCCCTTCTCCTCTATTCTCCTCTTGGGATCCTGGGCACACACGCACACATGCCTGGCGTGAGTTTTAAGGCACCGGGTCGGGGATGCAAATCACAGTCGACTACGTGGGAGTCCAGCGACATAGCCATTATGCTAACTGCTGGTCACTAATTTCTTTCTTTTTTTTGTTTTTGGAAAGGTTTTTGCTATAGGGCACATGCACTCACCAGACAGACAGAGAGAGACAGAGAGATAGAAAGCGAGAAATCACCCCCCCAGGGGGGATGACCATGCCGCAATCTGTCTCTATGTCTCTCTCTGTCTGTCTGGTGAGCGCACACGCCCTATAACAAAAACCTCTCCCCAAAAAAAGAAAGAAAAAAAAAAGATTTGTTCTATTAAAACTCTATTACATTGGTTGCTTTATTTTTCTTTTAACACACCCAAAGATACGAGTATTGGTCTTCTCAGGGTATTACAATTTTTCTGATGTTTTCACTGACTTTCCCCATTGTTAACTTTTTTCCAGTAAATATAATAATTTAAACTTAGGACCTATCATTAAGTAATTACTTTTGTTTTAATTGCCAGAGGCCAAATGCACTCCTCAGAGATGGAGGATAACACCCCTTGTGAAGCACTGTCACATTACAATCCTTTTCCTCCATTTCTCCTGCCCATCAGGGCACACAGATGTGCCCAGTATGTTTCTCGAGCAGCAGCAGCAAGGATTTGAACAGCAGTTAGCCACGTGAGACCTGGCTCCCGACACATAGTACTTAACCACTGCACAGCAAGACCACCAGAGGTGGTTAATATTAATTAATAGTATGATGTCTTAACAGCCCCTCTTAATGATGTAATGGGTAGATTCTGATATTTACTGTAAATGGCGTTTGTTGTGAAGGTGGGGGTGGTGTGGTGGCATGGGGCACATGCATTGTTGAGTTCTAATGTGAGTTTGCATACGATGATTTGGGTCTTGATAGGAGTCAGTGATACAGATCCATGACAGAGCAGGTTTGGGGGACCAGCCCTTAATAGGAAGTCACATGCCAACATCTATTTTTAAATCATGTATAATAATGTTTATTTGGTGTAAGTGAATATCTGAAAGTAAATACCAAGTTCAACTGGTTACAAAAGTGAAAATCATCAAGTCACAAAGTCTGCAACTGGAAAAAAATATGCAGGTGCCCATGTAAATGAAGAAAGAAGTACCTGATCAAGGATGAAATGCTCTATTTTCCTCTTTAACCAGTGTTTTTTTCTTTGTGGTCTTGCTAGAGTCTATTGTTTAAGTCAATAATTCTCAAGGTAAGACCAGCAGCCAACAGCAGCACCTGGAAACTTTTTACAAATGCAAATTGCCCCAAACCAGACCTATTGAATCAGAAATGCAAGGACCAGCATTTCTGGTTTAACAAGCTCTCAGAAGATTCTGACTCATGTTCAAGTTTATGAACTAGGGTTTTAGCCAACGTGTAATAAAGCAAAAATTCACTGTGGCCTATGCACTTTTCTTCCCTGAAAAAAGAAGTCCAAGACAACACCATTACTGCAATCCAGGAAGAGGAGAGAAGAGAAGCCCAGGAAGAAAAAAAGCCCTCTTCTCTATTATTGCCAGGAAACCAGGGCCTCACAGTTGGCCTTGTCACTTCAGCTAGGAAGGAAACAAGAGAAGTAAGTAAGGATGCGCTCCTGGGTTTTTGTTTTTGTTTTAAATCTGAGAGAGTCTTGTGGACAGAAGTCTGACTACTTTTTCCTATTTTTCCAAAGTCCTTTCCAGAGGGCCTAGAGGGGCGTCATGCCCACAAACATTAACAGACCATTTTTTTTTATTAATAAGGTTCTTTCTACATCCTGTCCCTGACATAAAATCTTTAAGATGTATATTCAACCAATTACAGTATATTCTTTTGCTTATCTCTTCCCAAGACACAGATTTTCCCTTCCAATCGCCAACCTAAAAATTGTAGAATTCACCTACAACCTACAAGCTCCTGCTTCCACATGTCCCGCCTTTTTGGGCCAGACCAATGAAAATCTTTTCACTAATTTTGTCTGTCACTCTCAAAATCAAATAAAAAGAACCTGTGTACTTGATCACCCCAAGAAAGGCATGTTTGCCTCCTCTCAGGGCCTAGGTCACTCATATTCTACTTAAAAATAAACCACATTAATTATTAATTATTTATAGTTGGTTATATTCAGTCAACAGTCTACAGGCTCAGAATTGTCAAAGATCTGTAAGAAACAGATCTCAAGAAATACTACTGCAGTGGCTACGAGAAAGTGCCAGTGTTTTTTTTTCTTTTTTCCTTCCTTCCTTTCTTCCATCCGTCCATTCTTTTTTATTTCTTTCTCTTTCTTTCTTTCTTTCTTTCTCTTTCTTTCCTTCCTTCCTTCCTTCCTTCCTCCCTTCCTTTCTTCCTTCCTTCCTTTCTTCCATCCGTCCATTCTTTTTTATTTCTTTCTCTTTCTTTCTTTCTTTCTTTCTCTTTCTTTCCTTCCTTCCTTCCTTCCTTCCTTTCTCCCTCCCTTCCTTTCTTTCTTCCTGTTTTTAAGAGAGATTTATGGCATATGCACTTGGTGGAGAGACAGAGAGAGACAGAAAGCAAGAAATCATCCCCTGGGGGGTATGGCCACATTGCAGCTGCAATCCCCCCTCTATTCGCCTCTCAGGATTTTGGACACCCATATACATGTGCTGGTGTGAGTTTTAAGCTCCAGGTCTGGGACTCAAACTGCTAGACTATATGAGTCCAGTAATGTAACCATTACGCCATCTGCTGGTCCCAGCGCCAGTATTTTCTGTGTCAGATGCCCTCTGCTTGTTTACAAACAAATCCTAGTGGCTACTCCCTAATGTTGTAGGTCTCTGTTTAGAATGCCTCTCTCCTTTCCTCTGTACCAGAAAATCAGTGTTAGGACCCTATATAATAAAAGTAGATTCTGATTGGTAGTTTGGAGCTTTGCCTATGCCAGAAGGCACAAAATTTGTTACCATATGTTTCAACTACACTTCTGCATAGATAAGGAGTTACTTTGTTTACTAGATTGCAAAGATGTAACAAGCAATTTTTGAGCATCTGCTTTTAGAACGGCTCCCTAATAAGTGCTGGATAAAATAAAGACAAATAA